CCCCCCCCCCAACCAACAACACACGCGCCTACACGATAACACTCCGTCGAGCCCAATTTCCAACTACTCGGATGCACCAACACCTGCGAGGAGAAGACACACCAGAACGACACGCACTCAAGATCAAGAAGTTCACCCCCCCTTCCCGCACACGGACCTGAGTGCGAGTCGTCCATATACCCCCCCGGTTCCCACACCTCGGAGCCCCCCACCCCCCCCCACCGGTCGCTCACGCCGCCTCCCCCGCCGTCTGCACCGTCATTTCCTCCGTACCCGCCGAAGTTCCCCCCGCCCCGCCTCGCCGGCGGCAAGAGGTCCCCGCTGTCGTTCCTTGCCGAGAACGCCTCCACCAGCCGCTGGCACCACGAGAGCCACCCTTGCCGAGACATGAGCGCGTCCGCGTTTCTCTCGCGGTCGCCTCCGTCTGTGTTCCTGGCCCTTTTTCGCGAAGCCCCGCCGCCGCCACCGCCGCCGCCGCCGGCGGAAGCCTTTCCAACGGCCGACCCACCCGTGCCTTCATCATCCCCGCCGCCGCTACCGCCGTTCCGACCGGCGGCCGACTCGGGGGCGGCGGGCCCGGCCGCCGGCAGCCAAGCCACGGCGCTCTCCAGCTGGAGCAAGCACCGGGAGACCACCGCGGGGGACTGCGCGCGCTGGAGGGCTCTCATGAGCACCTCCACCGCCTCGGGGAGGACCAGGCTCAGCGACTCGGAGTCGTCACCGCCGTTGGTGTCCCCCCCGTGTTCCTGTTCCGGCTGATCTTCTTCCACTGCCTGGCGGGCTGCTGCTTCGCGTGTTGCCTCGGTCGGAAGCGGCGGGTCGAAGATCTCCTCCGGCGGCGGCGACGAAGCCGGCATTTCTGCGGCGGTTTTCTTCTTCGTCGACGAGGACGGTGGTGGCTTCGCCGCCGCCACCCCGGCGTCGCGCTCCGCTGAGGACGGTGGGAACACCTTGCCGAAAATTCGGGGTCCTCCTCCTCCTCCTCCTGCTGCTGCTGCTGCTGCTGCTTCTGCCGCCGCCGCGGACTTGTCGTCCCCTCCTCCAGAGGGTTCGATGCTCAACCGCCGGAACAAGCCGGACAAGAAGCTCGTGTCTTCCTTTTCTCCGGGGCTGCTGTCCCCGGCCCCCGTTTCGGCTCCGACGGCCACGGCGCCCCCGCCGGTGTCCGCCTTCGGCTTCATGAGAGCGGCGAACCTCCCCGGCTTGGCGGCGCTTCCGGGGAGTGTCGTCGTCGTCACCGCTGCACACTCACCGTTGACCGCTTGGTTATTTTCACCCTGCCCGCCGGTTCGTGCGGCAGCAGGAGCGGGGGCGGCGGCGGCAACTCCCGAGCGGCAATCTTGGTCAGATTCCGGCACTACCGTTCCCTCGTCACCGCCCTCTTGCTCGTGCCAGCTCGTGTCCAACGCTGGGGCAAGCGTCTGCGGCGCTCCGGCATCGGGAGGCTGGACACTCTCGGGCCCGTTCTGGTCGACAGAGCTTGTCGCGGGTGCGCTTCCGGAGGAAGTTGCCCCCACCGCCGTCGACCTGATCCGGTCTACTATGGACGTGCTGCTGCTGCTGCAGCCTTCGGCTGTTGTTGATCTTGCGGATGCGGCCGCGCCGGCCGCCATGGAGTTGGCGCTGCTGTTGTGGTTGGTGGCATTAGTCGCTTCGTCATCGGGAGGGCTCGAGTAGCTGCTCCACCAAGCTCTGAGGAAGCACGCACCGGGAGAAGGGAGACGGACCCGGCGGCACAAAGTGTTTTGATTGGTTAGTTTCATCGAGTAATCCCCCCGCCTACACGAGAGCGGTGTGGACGTTCTGGATGCGCTCCGCAGCCGAGTTCGGTGCAGGATGATGCCTGCTCGTGCCCGATCTTTTTGACAGGTTTGACCCCAAGACATTATTTGAACGTGGACTTTGTTTATCAAATGCAGGAAAACAAACAAAGAAAACAAGAACAAGCCCGTCATCCCTGAACAGGCGGGCGACATGCAGCCACCCCAGCATGCGCCTCTCAAAAACCACGAAACAGCGGACACAGCAAGTGTAAGCCACCAAGCACCAGAGGGGTCAGCCGCATCGCACAACACAACGCCGCACCTCAACCACGACTCCTTGTTGCCCTTGATGGCCAGCACGTCCTTCTCTCGAATAGGCCGGGGTTCGTGCTTCGAGCCCCAGGCGCCGAAAATCATGCCCATCAGGGCGTCGCACACGGCCTGGCAGGTGGTGTGCAACTCCAGCTGGCGCCCCATGGCGGCGAAACCGCCGAGCTTTTCGAAGGCGCGGAGCGCCTGGGGGTCCGTTCCCGGCCGCACGCCCCCGCCGGTGCTGGAGTCGTCCGACGAAAAGAAGTTCGAGGTCGAAGGTCGCCTACCGTCGTATCCTTTCCTCACCTGGCAATCATCACCGGGTGCGGAAAAAATTAGGTGTGGTAGTCCCGATCGTAGGGAAAGGCAAAAATCACCACTTGGTATTCTATCGGGATCCGCACTATTTGGGGGAGGTCCTTGAATAGTAATAGGTTAAAAAGGCTGTCATGCCGAGGAAATTTTCCCGCGATATACCGGCAACGTGCTGTACTGGACCGCGGTAAATATGGGACCACCACTGTACATGTGTACATTGTTAACAGCAGGCTTTCGTGGACTCCGCCGGTGGTGCTGTCAAGATCTACGACACGTCGGCTAGTGCAGGTTGCTGGACGCAAGGAGGGTGTGGCGGCGGTGACAAGGGGGGCGCACGCTATCAAAAGCTTAGCCTCGGCAGACCGCTTTCTTTCGGGTTTCGTCAAGGCCGGCCGGGGCTCGCTTCCCTCGAAGCAGATAAGTGGAAGACGGCATCAGCCTTGCCAACTAAGTTAACGGGAGGAGGTCTAGGCACCGATTGCCCACATTGGGCAAGCGGGCACTGGCGTGAGAGCGGCAGCTGCGACACCCGAAACGCGACGCTACGCATTGCACGCAATCCTTCCTCCTAGACACAGGGGCTGCTCACCAGCATGAGACTGAGCAGCTTGATGGCGCTGACCCTGGTCTCCACGTGGCTGGACGACAAGAGCTCCAGGGCAACGAAGAAGTTTCCTCCTGGTAGGGCACCGGGAGCAGGCAGCGGCAACAACGAGGAAGGACGGACAAAGACGAGCGCTCACACGAAGGAAACGAAGCACACCCACGGATTGATGAGCACATTGCCTTCGAGGACGGCACGAACCAGGGCAAGCATTCGAGCAGCCTTGACTTGTTCTTGGCCAATTGTAGGCTCTACGGTTTCGGTCGTGTATGCCACAGCCACCCACAAGCCGACAGGCTTGACCAAGTGCCACACTTGCGGTACTGTTACGATGTCGGCGGTACGCAGAAGAGAACCCAAACTCATAGCTCGTTGCAATTCCCTGCCTCCTACCACGCCTGACGAGCATGTCAGATACTCCTGTACCAGGACGACCGATACGAACCCGCTAATTAAACTCCGAAACGTACTTTTTCAAACAAAGGATTGCCAACGCTTACACGCGTGATACTTGTTTGGAGGCGGACAGCTTTTCGTCAAAAGCGCGGAGAAAACTTCACTCGAAATAACCTCGTACATTGGTAGGAGAGCGAGGAGAGTGTTGTGGTGTCCTGTCGGGGGCCCCGTCGACTTATCCCCCCACCACAATACCACCCACGTAGCCCCCAGAGTCCCCCCAGATCAGTACCGACTGACGAGTATTCCAGACAATACACACACTCGAGCACCACAGACGTAGCAGGCGTGTTCTCCCCATACCTGCGGGGAAGGCCTGGGACATCATCCCGACCACAACAGCTCCTCCGTCGCCGCCGCACAGCTGCACCAGCAGGTCTACCACGATCCCGCCCACCTGCCTCGTCAGGGCAAGCTGGGACTGCGCGGACCCCTCCGGAAAATGCCTCCTTGCCGGGGAAATCCCGTACCGTTCGTCCTGGGCCAGCTGCATGAGCGGAGGAGAAAGGCAGATGGTGCATCAAACGAGAGCCGCAATCATTCCGTGTGTGTTAAACGGCGGTACGATGGCGCGCTACATCTCAACAAAAAAAAATCATCCAAGCACTTGCGCAAGGAGGGAAGCGTACTCCACGGGCGTTGGGAATGATGGGGCCAACTTTTTTACAGGCCACCTGCGCAACTGTAGCAAATGAGCAGTGCCTGCCTCGAGAGCATACGCAGCAGCAACGATCTCTACAAAAAGGGGGGTCATCAAGGTAGCTGCAAAACGCAGCGTCAATCCCAGAGAACCAACCACGGCGCAGCCGCCGGTTCAACGTTCCCAAACGAACACGCATACAGGGGGTTACACGCCTATTGGCCAGCCGCGCACCTGCCCCGTGTTGAGGACTTGCCGCCTTACAATGTCCGTGAGCTCTTCCACCTCGAGGTGGCACCGCAGCACGAAGCCCACGAGGTCGGCCAGGTGATCCGGCGTGCAGCCGGCGGAGGTGCTGCTAGCTACGGACGCCAATGGGTCCTGAGCAAGAAAACAGCGGTGACGAGAGAATAACGGGGGGTGGGGGGGTAGGGGGCGTACTCTTATGTTTTGCATGTCTTAGCGGTTAGACCATTGACCACGCGTCCTCGAGAGGACGGAGCATTGTTCCCACAGGACCGATCACCGATGGCCAATCGTTCCTT